AGCAGCACTTGCATGGCGTGCCGCACGCTGCTATGCTTCTTACTGACTTCTCGGCCGCGTTTCCCTCCCTCGCCTCCTGCTGGCTCCTCCACGTTCTTGAACGCATGCGCCTGCCGAGATGCATTGTCCGCTGCTTTAAACTTATGTATGAAGAAAGCCAGGGGGAAGTGATACTCGCTGGCAGGAGTTTTGGGCAGATTTGACTGATGTTCAGGAGTAAAGCAGGGCTGCCCCGCATCCATGCTGCTCTATGTCGTTGCCACTGACCCTCGCATACGTTGGTTACGATCTAGTGCTGGGCCCCACATCGACTTCAATCTCGCGTACGCTGATGACCTCCTCTTTGGGTTCGTTAACATATTGACTGACCTCCTCCCCATGGTTGATGGCCTCAATATGTTTCAATATGTTGCCAACCTGAAGCTCAATTTCCGCATGTGTCAAATCATCGGTTGTGGGGACGTGGGGGTCAATTTCCTGGATAAGTTTCTGAAAGGCTTTGGAGGTTGTAGTGGGCGGATGGTTGCCAATTCCTGGGTGGTGTATCTTGGCGTTCCCATTGGGCCTGACGGGCGCAAGCATGTTTGGGAGGAAATTGCCCCGAAATTCGAAGCCAGGGTTCGTCTCACCAGATGTGTTGGCCTGGGACTTGCCCTCTCCGCCCTCTCCTTCCGCGTCATGTGTGCCTTACTACTCCAATGTAGTCTTCAACTTTACCCTCCTGACGGCCCCCATATCAAGGCTTTCAAGGGAGGGGTCATGTTACTTACGGTAGGCCCCAGGAATGCTATGTCATATGTTTTGGTTGTCCAGATGCAAGGAGTTGGTTTCCACATTGGGTTCCTGGGTATCCTTGCGGCAGCGCGTGCTGCCCGCGCTCGATTTGCAGTACGGTGAGCCGCCATCCCAGTGGTTCTGTCCTCACTCGACTCCGATCGCCTCGATCCTGAGCACATCCCCTTCCGATGGCATCAGGGCTGGCACAGGCATTCTTTCGTTACGCACCTCCGTGGGGCCATCCAGTGGTACCGTTCTCTCTCGTCGCCGCTGGAGGTTGCGGGAAAACATTGCAGTCCAAGCTTTATCGTATCGCTCGACAACTGCCCCCCCGTGAGCAGGCGAAGCCAATCCTCCTTCGCAGGATTAGGAAGCTTGTCCCCGAGGCGGAGCCGCGGCGCATCGATCAGTTCTGTGCGAACCTGCAGTACGTAGCCAAGTCCACCTCATGTACCTCTCTGTCGCTCCCCTTCGGCTGCTCACGAACTCTTTTAATACCTCTTCGCGTTTCCATTGTGCTCTTCGGGGATGTGTATTCGACTGTGCGGAGTCTACGGAAGTTGACTTGGACTCGATATCGTCTTATTGTTGTTGTCCCCAGTTCAAACAGTTGATTCAAGGGGGGTTGCAGAATCGTATGTTGAGTTCACGTCAGCCTTCTGGGCATTCTCACTGCTTCCCCCTCCTCCTCCTTCTCTTCCCCGCACAGCCTGAGATCACTATCCTTCGCGCTGCACGCTGCGATGCCTTGTTCTATTTTTACTGAATTCACGACGGCTGGGTCTGAAGGGGCCCCCAGCTCAACATTTTGAGGCTCGGCTTCGCACTGCGGCGAGGAGGCGTAGGCCACTTGCTGAGGCGTGGTCTACTAGCCCCTCTCACATTGCGCGGCGGCTCACGTTGCACCCGCCATCCGTGGAGCTTTTCACCATTGAGTCGCCAACTGCACGAGCCACCAGGTCCCCAAAGACTCCTAGAGGGCGCTGGGTTCCCAACGAGTACCTGATTTTTTGTTGAACAAACTCTGCATGCACGGTGCAACTTTACACGCCAGGTGGCTCCCGACGCCGGTCTCAGCAGTCTCAGAAGGTTTTAGTGTTCCGAGGCCCTTGGCACCGAGCACATCTGCGAGACTCGCGCGGCCTCAAAGTGCAACCAAACCTTCTCCGTAGCCATTTTGGCTCAAGACAGGGCTCAAGCCGTCGGGCGCGCGCATGGGCGCGTGCGTGCCAGCCATGGCCTCTGGCGAGTCGCTCCAACGACCACGATTCCCTTGGTTGGGGAGCCTGCTTGGCATCGCCGCGCCCGCCCCCAACGCGCGCGCGCGGGTTGCGCTCCGCCCGGGCAAGGCAGCTGAACTCCTGCAGGCGCGCCACAGCGCGCGGCCCAGGATGCGCGGGCGGGCTGCTGGCGGGGCCAGGACTGGCAGCAAGCAGGCGGACGCCGATGTCCTTTCTTGGGCCGCGGCGCCATGCCGGGGCTGTCACTGTGGACGCGCATACATTTAATTGGGCATGCCGCGTGCGCTGCTTGCGGTGCGATCGGCCAGCGCCGCAGCGGATCGCCGACGCGGCGCGGGCGGCTGACTGGCAGTCCCGTCGGCCAGCGCCTCCGACGCGCGAGATGGGGCAGCGGCGCTCGCAGCGTGGGGGTGGTGGCGGCCAACAGCCTGGACCAGGTGCGGCCTCTTACGCGGATATCGGAGATGGTGAAGCGCATCCTCCCATCGCTGTCCGCTGGCGCAGCGGCGCCGGCTGGCGACGCCCCCATCCCACCTCCTGTCGATGCTGGTCCGCAGCAGGAATTGCCCCCTGCTCAGCGGGAGCTCCAGTACTGGCGCCAGCGCCGGGCAATTGCTCACCGCTTTGGCGCGGAACAGGACGTGGCGGATTGCGACCGCACCGCCAGATGCAAGTCTTGGAGCAGGCGGCTCTGGCAGCCCGGCCGCGGGCTGTCCGCGCGCAGGCCGCAAGCGATTCGAAGCGGGCGGCTGCTGCGAAGCTCAAGGCTGCCACCGCGGACCTGGCCGAAACGTGGCGGGCGGTCCAGCACTTCGAGTGCGAGGCGGCCCAGGCGCAGCAGGCCCTACGACAGGCCGATGCGGCGCTGGCGGCTGTACAGGCGGAGGCGGTACAAGCCTCGGCGCCGCCTGCGGCAGCAGCACCGCTCAGCGAGGCGGGGGTCGCCGCAGCCTTCGACGCGCTTGCAGCGGTGACCGCAGCGCTGCAGCAACGTGGTGGGGCCGCCGGCGGATTCGGCGGAAGCGAGGCCGCCGCGCTTGTCGAGCAATTTCGCGCTCTCGTCGCCGCGGCGGGGCGTTGGGCCGCTGTGGAGGGCCTGCCGGTGGTGTGGCAGCGGCCGCGGGCGGTCCCGGTACCTCCGCGCCTGCCGCCGCGCCTGGAGCAGGCCAGGCTGGCGATGTTCGCGGAGTTCCTGGCGATGGAATCGCCGACGTTGCCGGAGGCCTTGCAGTTCCAGGCGCCGCGCCGCCAGCAAGGGCGGATGCGGTTGCCGCCGCTCCCCGCGAGTCGCCGCCACCCTGTGGCGACGGGGGCGTTACTGAGGAGGCGAACCGCGCACAGATCGTGGCGCGAGGTGGCCGCCGCTCACCGCGCGGCGGAGGCCAGGCGGCAGGTCACGCTGGGGCAAATGCTAGCACCGTTCGCGAGCGTCTTCCACGCCGCCGGGCAGCCCAGGCAGGCGCGGACGCTCGCGGAACCTCGAACGGGGCGCGCCTGGCGCCTGAGCATCGCCGACGCCGGCGTCGGCGATGCTGTGCGCCCCTCCGCCGCCCTCGGGGAGGCTTCCGAGGACGTCGACGCCTCCCGCGCGGCCGCATGGGGACGCCAAAGAGGCCAACGCTGCCTGCTGCAGGGCGGAGGCCGCTGGCTGCGCTGTTGCTGGAGGCGTCGCTGGGGACTGCTTGGCGGGCCCGCCCGCCTCCATCGGGGCCGCATGCGCCCCTGCCGCTGGGGGCGCTGGAGGCAGCCCAAGGGGTTCACCTGGTACCCCTCCGCCGGAGGCCGCTGGCCGCGCTGAATCTGGGGGCGCCGCCCAGGCCAGCTCGGAGGGCTCGCCCGCTGCCCTCCCCGCGGGGGCCGCCGGACGCGCTGCTGCGGGGGGTGCTGCTGGGGGGGCCGCTATGGGCGGCCTTGTTAGCTCGGCTGGCCCCCTCACTTGGTCCGCCTGCTGCTGCTGCTGCTGCTGCTGCTGCTGCTGCTGCTGAAGGCGCGGGAGGCGGCGCGTGTGCCGCTGCCAGGGCTCACGAGGCCGCCCGGCGGCCGGATCGGGGCGTGGCCCGCGCGAGGTTGCCGGGCGAGGCCTCCGGCAATCGCGTCGGGCACAGCGCCGGCACCGGGTCGCCAGGCCACGGCTCCGGCAGGGGGTCGCCAAAGAGCGTAGAGAGCGTATGGGGTTCGCATGGGGATCGCATGGGAATCGCAGGTTTCTTTCAGAAATTGTTTTGTTGTTGTCCGAAGATCATTGACAAATATTGCCAGGCTGGAGCCAGGCGTATCAGCGGCTTCCGTTCTCTGCACATGGGACATGCGAATCTCGAGCCAAAACGGCTACGGACGGAACAGAAGGACGAGAAGAAGGAGGATGAAGATCAGGAAGGCGACGATAAGACCGGCACTGATCGGAAAATTCAGTGGGAGGGGTGGGGGAGGAAAACGAGTCGGAGTTTCATCGACAGTTGCACAATCAGGCTTATCATTCCTCATTGCGGCGCTGGCCTCACATTCCGCAGTCATCGTAGTCTGCCATCGGCTACCTCGCGCCATCCGCAAGGACAATCTTACTTTCCCGCAGTTCTACAAGGACGGCTGCGAATTCGACGTAAGAGGGTGAGAGTTTGGCTGCGCGGAGAAGGAGGTGGCAGCAGAGAGATCAATGAACGGGCATGGTCACCCAGTCACAGTGGATGGGCCAGAGTTGTGTAATTTGGTTGCCGCGAACCAGCGTTTGTTGCGCTACTGCAAGTGTGTCATCTGTTGCTTGTCGCTGGCCGGCGGTGTAAGTTTTGTTGTATTCCAACGCGTCATTGCAGGACTCCGACGGGAAGCATCTGATGCGGGGCCTTCTCCGGAAGGACCCAAAGAGTCGCCTTGGCACTGGCTTGGACGGCTTCCAGGTCTCCTCTGGCGTCCTCCGCCTTGGATCGGCCAGTTCGTTTGTTCCCCCCACACGTCCCCACCTTGTTCTGGCCGACGTTCTCTGCAGTATGTCTCCCTCACTTTGCCCCTGTCACGCCCTGCGCTGCTGGGTGCTTCCATCCCATTGGCGATTTCTCCCTCCTCCACATGTCGTCTACCCCCCCCACACCCACGAATTATATCCGGCGTCTTGCGTCGAACCCAGCCACCGTGCCAGCGCAGCGGCGCAGCAAGAGTGAGGTTGATTTCAAGACCCGTTGAATTTCAGTACCATGTTTGCACTGGCGCGGGTCTTGAATCCCCATATCCTGTCCGCACCTCGTTCGCCTCTTCCTTTCTGCTTCCTCCTTTTTCCCCTCCTCCCCATCGTCCCTCTCCCTCCTGAAGGAATCTTGAAGGCTTCTTGTGGGAGTTGGGGGCCTCCTGGGGGTCCTCTGGGAGAAATTCGCCTGCCCGAGTGAAGTGGGCACCTCAGAGCCATGGGAGGAGGAGTGTGGAATAACGACAGATCCTAGATTGAGGGATTGGCGAGGAGAAAGAGGATGGCAAAGATGAGGAGGAGGAGGAGGAGGAGGGCGCCGGGCGCCAGGTAGGGCGGGCGCCAGGCCTGCGGACCAGTCGGAGAAGAACAGGATAGAGGGAGGGAAGAACAGAGCGGAGGGGCGAGGAGGGGCGGGGGGGGGAAAGATGGGAGGGGAAGGATAGGAAAGGATGGGAGGGATGAGAGGGCCCGCAGGTTATCAAAGACCACGACTTTTTCAGGCTTCCCGATGCTGGGCAAACTCTGTTCGACATGCTGATCGCGAGGCGCTCGTGGGGCCCATGCCACCTACGTAGGCTGTTGTCGGAGGAAGGGCATTCCCTTCAGCATGTCTCCTTCACTGGCCTCTACCCGTCCTCGTTTACCTTGGTGCTTTCATCCCATCTCCGCTTCTCCCTCCTCCACGCGTCCTCACGTCCTCACCCCCTCGAAAGGTATCCGGGCCAAAGACCCAACCATATGCAACTGCGAGTACCGCACTATGGATACAGCCTCGAGGCGTGTGAGGAGTGCGCCGAAAGGGGGCGGGGCCGTCATGCGAACTTTGCCACTGTAGCCTTCGATGGAGCTCCATGTGAAGCCACGAGACACGTGCAAGGGCGGCCAAAATGGGGCGGGCCCGCCACGCGAACTTTGCCACTGGGGCCTTCGGTGGAGCTCCCTATGGGGCAACGAAACGTGTGAGGGGTGCGCCGAAATGGGTGCGGGTGGCATGTGAGCGTTGCCACTGGGGCCTTCGGTGGAGCTCCCTATGGGGGCCCCGAAACATATGACGGGTGTGCCAAAACAGAGACATGCGGAAGGCAGATGCAGTGGTGGGAGGAGAGAGGGGGAAGAGGAGGATGAGAGGACGCGGGGCGCTGTCTGACTGCTCCCCCCGAACCCTCCGTGGGTGGGGCACATGTTTCGAATAGAGCACGTGTTGCTCCTCCCTTCTTCCCGCTTCACCTTCTCATCCGCCTGCTCGCTGGCCCCTCCCCTCTCATGCCTCATGCTTCCTACCAGCCTCAGATCTCGCTTCCCTCGGCGCTGCCACTGGCGCAGTTGTCGCCACTTTCGTAAGCGCTTGGGAGGTCCAGCGGAGTGCGGTCCTGCCCAGATCCAAGTGAGACTTCGCCTCCATGGGCGCTGCCAGCTTCGCAAGTGACGCCACTTTCGTGGGCCTGTGGGAGGTCTAGTGCGGTCGCATGGGCGTCCGCCGACCTCTGCCCAGCGGCACGCCTGGGCCGGAAGCAGCGGGAGAGAGAGTGGAAAGGAGGAGGGAGGGAGGGAAGGAGGGAGGGTGGAGGAGAAGGAGGAGGAGGAGGAGGAGGGCAAGAAGCAGAAGGAACAGCAGGAGCAGGGGGGAGGATCAGGACTTGGACAGAGGACGGAGGATGGCGGAGGATCGGTTTGGGGTGAGAGGAAGTCCACAGAGGAGGTGAAGGCGATTAGGATAGATGACGACGAGGAGGAAGAGTGGGAAACGAGGCTGCAGCACATTGTGAAGACGGGGAAGAGGGGTTGCATCCAGCTGCGACCAGGGAGCTGAAGCCACCCTTCGAGCCGGACGGGGAGAGCTACATGGAGGATGACATCAACAACGAGTTGGAGCTTTGTTCAATGTGTGAAAAATATGTAGTTTGTGTTTGCCGTTCCTTCTTGCTTTTAGTATTTCCCTTCGCTTTGCTCCCCGCTGCCCTGTATTTCCCGTTCCCCCTTCCGTCTTCGTTCCCGCCCCTGTTTCCTGGTATGTCCCGCTCTCTTTCCGTTTCCCGTTCCTTTTCATTCTCGGTTCCAGGTCGTTTTATCCAGAATGCGACGTGCAAGTTTCAATCGTGCCATGACTTTGCCGTGCCACACCTCAAAGTAGACGAGTGCGACTGGCCCTCGCTGGGTGTGTGTCATAGGCTCTGCGATATCAAGAGAAAGAGAAAGAGAAGAGGGAGAAGCAAACAAGAGAGAGAAAGTTGAAGCATCCCCTGGGCATCCCCGCTGGCGTCGGGACTGTGCCACGCCTGCTGATCTTTGCGACAGTTCGTAGATAGGCACTGCCCTCAGAGACCACCCTCTGCGCACCCCCTCTGGCGTCGAGAACGTGCCACGCCCGTTAGGTTTTGCTATATTTTCGTGGATAGACGCCGCGCTCTGAGACCACCCTCTGCGCACCCCTTCTGGCGCCGAGCAAGTGCCACGCCTTCTCGGCTCTGCATCGTGGATAGACACCGCGCTCAGGGACCCCCCCCTGCGCAACCCCTGTCACGTCGAGAGCGTGCCACGCCTGCTAGGCTTTGCGACAGTGCCGTGGATAGGCACCGCGTTCAAGGACCACCCCCTGCGCACCCATCTGGCGTCGAGGAAGTGCCACGCCTGCTAGGTTTTGCGGCAGCTTCGTGGATAGACACCGCCCTCACGGACCACCCCTTGCGCACCCTCTCTGGCGTCGAGAAAGTGCTAGGATTGCTAGGCTTTGGGGGGGTGTCGCGTATAGACACCGCGCTCAGGGACCACCCCCCGCACACCCCCTGTGGTGCCACGCCTGCCACGCTTTGCGAGCGTACGGCGGACAGCGCCCCCACCTCAAGCGCATCCCTTGCGGTGTCGCGAAAGTACCACGCTTGCCACGCCCTGCGACGAAGTCGCGTATGTTTTGTGAGTTCGGTGTGTCATGTGAGTATCTAGGACTGCGTCGGTGTGTCATGTGTACGTTTAAGATGTGCCAGGCTGTATGTGGATGTGTGTGTGTGTCTCATGTGGGTGCCCAGTATGTGGTGCGTACGTCTTGGGTGTATGATACAGTGAACATACCAGTTGTACAGTTGCGCTGCATGGTGTGTGCGCGTGTTCGCGGCTGGCTGTGCGACTTTAAACGGAGAGGGTTAAAGGCGAGATGTATATCGAGCATGCACCGCTGCCGTGCCTGGCTCAAGCCGGGCCCGGCCTAATATGTGATTGTGCCTCATTGAGGCGCACTACTTGTATCTGAGATCGGAAAATACCTTTTCCATTGACGATGCCCCTTCTATCCTTTACTCCAGATCCCATGCTTCGTCTTGCTCTCTTGCTCATGCGATATGAGACGAAGCCTGGGATATGGGAGCGCCTAAGGCGGAACATATATCTTGGCTTACCAGTGCGTTTTCGACTTGGTAGCGGAGCTGGCTACACTCTCGTGTGGCTGGCTCTTGCTCTAACACCTGTAATCCACGGCACAACTTGGTGGACTCCTACTACGGTGGAATACCATGTTGCGCCGGCTCTGCGAGGAGCGGAGCCAGTCCGCGATCGAGCTAGCGGGGCGACCCGCGAGCTCGAGACGCTCTCTCCTACTTCACTGCGCTACTTCACTCCCGACTTCCACCAGATGCCAATCGGCAACTCGATCGAGAACGTGGTCACTCTGCGGGGCTACCCGCAGCGGGGCCACCTGCATCCCGTGCCGGTCAGGCGCCTTACGGCTACTACGCCCGAGCCTGACAAACCACAGCCTAAACCAATCACCGAAGCCGAGATGCACATGCACTGGATGAAGATAACTATCTTCGGCATTCTATGGGTGTTACTGGGATGTGCTGTGGGCTACATGCGGCAGGGGATGGACGACACGCGTACTACCGGCCCTTCGTGGGACCCAGCCGGTACTACGCCCTTTCGCGAGTACGTTCGCGAAGTACATGCATGGATAAACGTAACGAGCGGCAATATGACGCCACCTCAGCAAGCTGCAGCACTACAACGTGGCCTTCAAGGCCTTGCTCGTCGTATCGCCATGCAGGTCCCCTCCCAGATCATCAACTATGGTGTAACTGTCAACGGACAGCCAACGGATGCAGTTACTTATATACTGTACCTATTGAGCACCAAATTTGAAAATCTGGAAGATGAGCGCCAGCTCAACTCTGGCACTGCCCTTATCGACTTTCGCGTCGAAAGGGGCGAGCGAATCGACTCAGTGTTAGCTCGATTCGAGATGGCCCGTGACGAGGCTAACTCTGTTGGCTTTGTCATCCCCAACTTTCAGATCCTAACGCTGATCCTTTTCAGAGCGTTAGGCGTTGGCGCGTCACGAGCCCAACACCTGCTGGAGCCCTTTAATCATCAGATGCCCAGAACACAAGCAGACTATGATAGGCTGCTGACCAGGATGAGGAACTACGGGCATGTTGCCGAGCGCTCTCCTGGCAACATTGCGGGTATCTTCACAGGGCACCACTCACATGCAGGTGTCTACGCCACGACTGCGGGGTCACCCGCTGGTCCTGGCGAGCCAAGTCCCTGGGCTGATCCAGCCGATATGCCCAACGAGGCCACTGCCTTCTTAGGGCAGACCGGCCAGGCATCGGCAGAGGCAGCTGAGGCGAACGCCTGGTCGAACTACACGCCAGGCGCCGCCTACACTGCAAGCCCGCCCTCGGGCACAACCCTCTGGGGCCGAGCGGAGTCATCCGCTCAAGGGTCTCAGCCACCCTCTCCGTTTGAATCTGGCACTGACACAGATACCTCATCTGACGATGAGCACAATGGCATAGTCTCTGCTGGTAATGACTATCCAGCTGATGACACTCACCTTTCTGAACAACAAAGAGCGGAAGCCGCTTTTATGGCTTATCAAAAATCCAAACGCCGTTGGAGGCGCTTCATGAAGAAACCAGTCAGAAAAGTGAGACGCGCAGCACGCCGACATTTCAAACGATATGGAACGGGTCGTGGCAAAGGGGGTCGCAGACGTCGTATGCATGGTAGGGGTATTACTGCTTTCCTCACGTCCTTAACTGATATAGTTTTTGAAGAAGTTCTTATCGGAGGCAAAGGTCGGGGTCACAGGCGGACCTCTGACAGGGAAAAGGGCGGAGGGGCAACCCTAGGGACGCTTCTGGCAATACTATGAAGTGTCATACATGCGGTAGCACAGAGCATTTGCGCGATCATTGCCCGAAAGGGAAAGGAAAGGGATCCGTACATTTGGCTCAAAACTCTTTTAAGGATGACATAGACTACATTGACTACGAGTTTTACGTCAATCCAGAAGCGGCTCCCGCCGCGGGCTCCTCCACGTACTACGTGATGGCCCGCTACGCTGAGGTGACCGTAGCCCTGGAAGAGTACGCGGTGACCCTCTTCGACGAGTTCCACGGCTGGGACGAAGTCGACGAGGTCGCGTTCAATGCTTGGTTCGGTCTTCCAGCGGGGCCACCCGCCGACGACGAGATCTCCGAAGCTGAGACCGCCCCGGCGACCGAGGAGGAGCTCGCCGCCGCGCTGGCACCGCAGGTGATTGGCATGCCGTTGCTGCCAGATCTTCCGCGAGCTGGCTCGGAAGCGGGAGACGCTGATGACGAAATGCGGGGCCATCCCGCTTATTCTGACTCTGAAGAGGCCGAAGAGGACCATAAGGACATGCTCCAAGAGCAGGTCGCAGAAGCGATCCAGCTCCTGAGTGCGCCAGCACATCAGCAGATAACCATGAACGACCTGCTGTCGCGCCCAGGGGCCGCAAGGCTGCGCCCATACCTGGATTCGGACATGTCGGCGCCTCAGATGCTGACAGCACTCCAGGTTCTAGCGGGGTCACCCGCCGAAGTGGCGCCAGCCGCAGCAGCGGGGCCACCCGCTTGGTCTATGGACGTATTCATGCAGGGCTGCGACCAGATGGACCTCAACGACCTCACGATGGAGCAGCTAACCGACATCGGGTACTTTCGAAGCCCGCATCAGCACGTATTCATGGTCCAGGACAGCTCAGAGGACTCGGAGGACAGGCGCCATGCCAAGAAGAACAGACGCCCATCGCCACCCCGAGACCCAGAGCACTGTCATGAAGATGAAAGGCCCATGGAACGTGGCAGTGCGTCAGCGGGGCCAGCCCGCAGGAGGAGCCGTTCAGCTCCACGACGCCCTACACATGATGCATCTGGCTACCCGTACAGTACGGAGCACTCCGTAGGTGCATCCGCTCAGTACGTGCCGGAGTGGTACATCAATTGGTACCCCGGCTACTCGATGGGCGTGATCCGCCACTGGCATTCTAAGGAGTACTGCACCAAACGGGACGACTCTGGCATGATAATACGTACCAAGGGTGGCAAGACTAAAACGCCAGAGGCTTGGGACCGAAGGGCTAAGAAACAGGAGATCATCAACGATCGCAAGACATACAGGAAACAAGTATGTCAATGCGAGCCTTTCAAAGGTCACATGCGCGGCTGTCCCATGGACCGCCCCTCCAGGAGCCCTCATCACGGTGAGACCCCCTGGAATTGGTCTCATGGAGATGACGCTGGCAACGTCCATGACTCTAACAAGGAGGTCCCTGGAGGAGGAAAGCGCATCACTGAAGCCGATCGCGCCCCTATGACCGAGGAGGTTGCTGACGCTGTCAGGGAAAATTGGGAACAGCTTCACAAAGACCATCGCCTCAAGGAATGGAACCGCCGATTCCATAAAGAGGCGGGGTCACCCGCAGAATCCAGCGGAGAAGCGGGGTCGCCCGCAGACGCGGCGCCAGCCGCTGGGTCCGCGGACGAAGAGTGGATAGCTGTTGCATCTGCTGCCGGATCCGCCGCCGGCACTGACCAAACCGAACTGAATGAAGAATGGGCGGCGGAAGACGGCTCAGAGAATCCATTCCCGGATGGATGCGCCTGCTGGTACTGCAGCTCCTCGGCACAGAAGTGGTTTTGCACGAGGGTAATTCATCGCCACGAAAATGGCAAGTACAAGCTGGCCATAAAAGGTACTGCCGACATCGACCAGATGAGGCAGATCATCCATGATCATGGCCAGCCAGAAGGCCCTCCTAAAGACCCTCCTGGTCCACAACCAGGCAAGGGCAGCAGACCACCTCCAGGACCTGAATCCGACTCCTCGTCTCCACCGTCTCCTGCGAAGAGGTACCCTTCCAAGAGCCCCGAAGGCGCACAGGGGCGTGCGAAGGCCAGAGGGATAGCCAAGAAGGACGACCCTGAGCAGGGAGAGCCTACCGGCCCGTCCGTGACGGAGAGGAGGAAGGCTTTTGCTGGACCATCAACCCCGATGCCACCGGTTGC